GTGCCAACAATCGTCCCATTGGGTAGGTCTCCTAACCAATCTACTATGTATGGTAGTTTCCCAAATCTTCCGCTTGCGAATGTTTCACAAGAATGCTGGGTTGTGAACAAAACTTTCGCCCCAGGCGGGACTAGAACCCGCACCTCTCGCTTTCCGGGCAAGTGCGCTACCAGTTACGCTACCGGGGCACCATTTCATTCCAACTCAGCTTTTCATGGTATACGTACCATAGCTTTCAGCACTCACACGTCTAACGTGTTGAGCCGGTTAGCCGATATCGGCAATGACCGCGAGGCTGAAAGCTTTAGCAATGAATTTTGACTTGTTTTTGTTTGTTAACTGCTGCGTTATCCTGGACCGCAGCGTTCTTCCTTGACGCGAATTATATAAAAAGATCACAATAAGAAATAAATAGAAAAAATGGCACTAGGGCAACAGAACAAAGCCTCTGTATTGCAGCTTTTGACCTGGAATTCCATAGGGCTCTTTATACCAACATGCGAAAAAAATTTAATACTACTAGGCATTTTAGTTATACGAAGATCGCATAGAAGGTAATAGTAAGGTTGTTTATAGATGACTCTGGTATCACAAGTCAGCTCACCAGAGCTTGAGGAGCCTATTTTCAAATTCAGCATCGTTCGCTGCTACAGCGACTCCACCTACCATTCACAATTGTTGAAATGTGAGTTTCACATTCACCATTCCTTTCTCTAAACATCCACGATCGTGTATTGGGTGCCAAAAATGAGTGGTAAAAAGGTGCAGCTGGGAGGGAGGGGGGTGGCAAATACTAAGCCGTTTTCAATAATAGTGGAGTAAGGCAGCCGATCTTCTTTGAACTTCTGTCCTACCGACACTGCTTTTCCGTTGCTCTCGCCAGTTTGCTTGTCTTACCGCAATGAGGTGTTTCTGGCTTTTTAATATTCATGAAAATCTTGGGCTCGTGAGGAACAGATTAAGTCCCATCTATGAGTGGTGTAGTGACAAGTGGCGCGCTTACCACGCGAGCGGTCCGGGATCAAATCCTGGGTCGTGAGTCGCCCGGGCCAACCAAGCCTTCCATCCCTCCGGGGTCGGTTAATTGGTACCAGACTTGTCTGGGAGGATAAAAACACTGACTTGTACATCGGCTGGCCCCGCAAGTCATTGTATAGGCCACATCGCATTCAAACGCCACTGCGAATGTACAAATGGAAGTAGAATGCGTGCCGCATCCCAAAAAGGGATTGATCAACGGCAAATGCTTTATCCTTTCCTTTTATGACTTGCCCAGGTGAGAGGCCCTGACCCGGTGGGTTAGTCTATGAAAAATTTATTGCGGAAAGAAATCCCAAGTACCATTGAGGTGCCGGCTCGACTGGGGTGCTGAGGACGATCGTCCACTGGCTAGATCCAGGACCGAGTTCTTCAAGTACATTTGCGATACAGGGTGGAGAAATAGTGTACGTGGCGCATTCCATGAATGACCGTGGGATAAAAATTTCCTTTCCTTCCACCCGGGGCATCTTTGAAACGCATTGAAGCTGCACATATCAAATAGCGTCAACTCCTTGATGGGATGTTCAGCCATTCTCATGGTTGGTGTTACAGATCGCCGACATCTTGACCGAACGAAGCGAAGATCCACTTCAAAAATTCATAGAAAGTTTTCGTACGATGAGGACGACCTGTGACTACCGTATTTCTGTAAATACCGTATTTCTGTGGGTAGTATTTCTGCAACCGTATTTCTTTAGTTACCGTATTCCTGCAAACACCGTATGCTACCTCCGAATTTTTGATCTCCTGCCATGAAATAAATATATTTGTCTCCCTGTCGTGCAAGTGATATCGTAATCTGAGAATGTGACAGTGTACAGTACTAATTATATAGAGTGCATTGTACAGAGTTATCGATCATCCTGACGGCATCACTTGTCGTCTGATCAAAGGCCGGCGCCGATCCATCACTGGAGAGCCACGAATTATACAAGAAGATGCGCCAGATGCTGACGCCCGCCAACCAGTCAGATGGCTTCAGAAGGTCATCTGAATACTCGAGACGTTGAAGGTCATCACAGTCTGTCCAAAACGGTCCGCGCAAGGATACTGTAGGTGAAAAGTGTATGTGGACCGGAACACATCATTGAAAGTGCGCTCTGTTGAAATCATGACGTTTTGTCTTCATCAAAACTACTAAAAGTACAACGATGTCTGGCGCCGGTCGTAATCACGGAAGAAACGCAATGAACCCTACCGTAAAATTTGAGCGGCATGGCACTGACATTCGGATTCACCCATGCGTGCCTATATTCAACAAAAGAAAATTCAAAACTCCCTGAGTATTATTTCTTCGCTCTTTCTGTCTTTTACATACTCACGTTAAATTAAAAGGCAAACCCCGGGATTAGCCCGACTTGTAGGAAGGACCGCGAGGGAAATTGTAAGGTCCCTACCTACCTAGATCACTCCAGCTTCGCCGCAAAAATTGCGCGGTTAGGGCGCTAATCCTTACGGGCCTGCAACCATCGACCCCGTTGCAACGCTTCCCACCCACCTCGATATCGGCGGCGTGATCTCTCGCGTGTTTTGTCTTCTTTGACCGCCCTGCCATCGTTCCACATCCGACCTTTTTGAAGGTTAAGGCCTTAATTTCAGCGATCCCAAAGATTTCTCTAGCTTTCCTTTCCACTTTCAGGCCGTCCCGCAGCTCAGTCATCACTACGAAGCGCTCCTGTCCCCGGTACTTGCCTTTAATGTGCAAACTCAGTGGCTCCAAGGTCTCAGCTTCATCTTTTAGTTCAGTGATGAAATTTTTCTTCTAGTGTGGACTGAAATGGTAGGCATATCTGACGACAACGGAAAAATCTGCCGATATTCGCAGACAAACGCAATTATCGTTTGCCTAGTTTTCGTCCACTGTCGCCAAAAATAGTAACCAGAATCCAACAAAACTCGGTATAAGCCCTGTTCACAACTTTCTGGAAGGCGGTCATGTGTTTAGCCAACCTTTACAGGATGGCGAGATCGACTCAAGATTTTTTTTTATTTTTCGATCTCGCCTAATTAAGACAGGTTCAGAGCGTGCAAGAGATGTCATAGCCATTTGAGTGCTTACGCATGATACTAAGTTTATATCCCGGCTTTGATCCCATCCAGGTCAATCCAGCCCTCAATAGAACGGTGCTTTAGTCAGTACGGTTTTTTTTTCAAGAGGTTCTAAACCCCTGACTTGTTACGTCGACTTGACTCATGTTCTCTCTGGCTTGAAACGACTGGGCTCTCCTCAGGACTCTTGCGTATCCGACGGTTCTATAAATTCTTCTTTTTCCTTACTATGCCTTATTCTTCTCTTCTGAAACAATTGGCTCAGTGGTTCATCGATAGTGAGCTGATATGCAGCTAGCACTATACAGCACTTATAAATACAACCTGCATTCAAAGACCTACGATATTGAATGGAGACTGCATGCATGGCGCATTTCAGAAAGGGACTAGTCAGCGCAAAATGCTTTGGAAGTTATCCTTATTATCCTTATTATTTGCTATTATATTTTCATTTTGATGTATAGTTCCATATTAGAAAAAAGACTGTTGAACTATGAATACTTTTTTATCCCTCTAGACCCGGTATGTATACAAATCGTGATGATCGAGAGACAACAGACCACATCTTCCACCCCCCCCCCCCCATCTACTTTTCCCCAGCAACCAAAGCTCTTTCGGCCTTTCGAGATCATGAACATTTTAGCGAACCCATCAAAAAATAGCACCCATTATTAACCTCATTTTGCGTGTGTGTGCCCCTCCTTTGTTCTGACCGGAAAACATCAAGCGCAAAACGTGATTATTGCGTTTTCGTTGGTGCAATATTGAGCCCGGCGATACATATGACCTCGGGTTTGATTGAGAACGGCACTGACAGAAGCATTGCATTCGTAGCACAATATTGAGGTCAAAGGGTGACAGATCTCTGTGGTGAGTGCAAAACACTGAATTTATCTCCAATAGCATCCAGTGATCCCCAGGAAGTGATAGGCGGAAGTCCTTCTTATTGGATTATTCCGAAATGAAGGCCGCAAATGCGCCATTCAAATCCCCTGAGCACTTCCTTCCGCGTGGCGGCTATTCAGGTGTTAATAGAGCGCACACCTCATTAGCATAAGCCGACCTGTCGATCCTCAATTGAACTCGTACGTAAATGCACAGAGGAACATCAAACACCTTACCGCCGTCTACCGTAATTATCATCGCGCTTGAATTGTCGCACTCTGTTATCAAGCGGCTTGGCCATGGTTTACCAGGACAGCTTTGCCAGCGTTAAGGTACCAATCAGAATTACGCTTGTTTATCAATGGCTTTAATTAGGACCCGTGATAAGCATCTCAGCTTACACAGAAGCGACCACATTGCTAAATGCTCTAGCGGTTCAATAACACCTCAGAACAACAAACAACAGCAGTTTAGTAAACAATACGTTCTGGTTATGTGGGGTACAATATTATAAGATTCCCTTGACCGGCGACTTTTTATGGCTAGTTCTATCTTCAATTGAATTAGCAGATATTCCTTGATAGAGAACAGCTTTGATAACCTTTTTGGGGAGGCGTATGATTGGGATTCCGCGGCAGGCAATTTAAAGTCTCATGTTCAGTTGAAAAGAATGCTAACTGATAAGCAAAACTCTTGCCCTACGCGGGGTTTGAACCGGGATCTACCACTACAAGCTGCGTCAAGGTGAAATGTAAAACGAAATGAGGGTTCAAATCCTTTCTGGGGCGAAGAGCTCTGCTCACAACAGCATTTTTTAATGAGAAAGTTACAATAAAATGTAGCCAAACGGAAGTAAAGGTGATGGTGGTGCAGCGATGATGAAAAAAAGCCATGAAAAACGGCTGGAAATAGAGACTCTTCTGCCTTTTCGCTCGATAGTTTCCACACTGATGCAACTTTCATCGGTGCTGTCCTTTTCTAGGCTGACACTCTGTTTCTCTGTGCTAAACGGCTCGAGTGGACGCCAGGAGGGTTGGGACCAGGGTCAACCGTTACGTTGGACCGATATTGGAGCGACGTTGGACCGATGTTCACCGCTCTCCGCGCCGGCATTCACTCTCGCCACCCGCGAGCCGTCTGTGTCTCCGTGCGTACGTTCACTCTCGGCATTACTCTCGTCGTCGCGTTGGACTTTGTCCAACGGACGGTTGACCCTGGTGGATGGCGCAAGCGGGGCGGGTATGGCGCGCATAGCCGCTGGGACACAGGCCTTCGCTGCGAAACGCGCACTGACCTGTACTCCTCATAAGGCCTGCTTGCCTTTTCAGCTAGGTGTGCTCCCCTTCTTTAGCTCCTGACTTGTCGTGTGGATCCTGCTTTGAGATAGCTTTCGCATGACAAGCTCCTGCTACAAAAGCAACTAACAATCAAAATAAGTCAAAAGTAATATTAGCCTATAAGCCTGCCGTCATTAAATTTGCCCAGTGGGTTCTGGTTCGCTGCCGAGGCCGAATAGGTTATATACGAGGAAGGCAACAAAGTGGCAAACAAACGTATAGGCTATAGAATAATCAAAATGGTCTTAGCTCTAAGCGTGCGTTTCATATCAATTTTGAGGGCACTGGCCTGCCTGTGTTTACGGCAAGCTGGTACGCCTTTATCGGCATTTTGATATGCCAAAAAGCACATCCGTGGGCTTCAATCTTCAATTGCTCTAAGGGTTCCCTAAGAATACAAAGCTTCCAGTAAAATAATCGAGTGCATACACCAGACTTCCGACTGCAACACTTTTTGAAAAAAAAAAGAACTTTACAACCTGGGGAACACGTCGGCAAATGTGTGCTGCTGAATGCCTATGTCCATAAATTAGTTCACTATAGAAAAACGTGCACAGCTGATAATGATGCCTGCAGCTACTCAAACCAGAACCCTTCTCGTTGACTCAAAATTCGTCAGCGTAGAACGAGAAAAATAGCCTTGGCTGCATGACTGTGTTAACTCACATGGAGTAGTTATGCCCCTACCATAAGAAATAAGCCTGCTACTAGCTCTGAAAAAAAACACATACTTCAAGTTATATAGAAGCAAGGCGATTATGCCTTATAAAGGGTTCATCGCTCGCGCATTTGACGCGTGAATAACAATGGTGGTGCTCTTAAGTCTCTGCGGATCTTCAGCTATACCTTCGGAAGATTCGACTCGCAACGCCTATTCATGGCGCATTCTTGATGCCCTTCGAAAATGCTGGAATGCATTGCTTGTCGGGCACGGTATATTTTAATCGAGCTCTGCGCCAGAACCTTCTCGGCCGTAAGTGTATAGTGTATAAGCGCAAGAAGTTAGCTTAACAGTGTTCTTCTCCTTTTGCCTCTTCAGGATGAACCTGTAGGCTTTTCTCTTTGAGTATACAGTATGCGTTAGGTCACGACTTGAACCCAGCCGTTGATCAATTCATTGAGGCAGTTCGAAATATTTCAATTAATAAATTATGCAACGTCTATGAAGAAGAATCCCGAAGAAATTGGGCTTTAGGCCATAAAGCCGATGGATCGGCTCAGGCTTGCTCTCAATACTTCAGCTCTCAAGTTTCACCTACTGACTCTGCATGGCCAATTAGTATGTGCTATTCGATCTACGGTGTCTTAATTGAGCCGCAAGACAATTAAAGGCCGACTTGGATTTCAACGCAACCGTGTTGCAA